GCTCCAGATACGGGACAGCCGGCTCAGCCCGGGGTCGTGGGCGTGAGGACACGGCATCCGTGCTGGGATAAAGAGATTTTCACTTTCGCTACTCGCCCTGTTCCTTTAAATAATAAGGAAATGCCACAGACTTCTTGTAAAGGCGAAGCCAGACAGGGATTGCTGAAAACACAGTTGCTGCAGACAAAAATCTCTCTGTTTCGCTATTCTGTCGAGAGTATTTTAACAGACTTAACAATGTTTCTTTTACCCTTCTGAATACCTTCCTTGCATTTTAATTGCACTGTTACCTTGGCCTTCTGCTCTGAAAGGGATGTTTGCACTGACAGGTACTTCAACAACATCCATGCTCTACGGCAGAAGTATTTGTAACTAATGTGCCCTCCTGACTGTGCTCTACTGACAGGGGCAAACACAGGGACATGCAAGGAGGGTACACGCCCCCAAACTGCAGGGCAGTCAGTCATAAAGCCCCAGGTATCTTAATAAATCAGATACTTCCCTATTTTTCTGGTTTCCTCAGAAGCCTGAGTCATCTAGCTTAGACGAAGATGAGGTTAAAATGTTTGAAAAGTGAGTAAATACAGACTATCCTTTCAGGAAGATCTGGCTAACAGTTCATGCTGAAGGTGAGAGAACTGTGCTGCGCGGGAGTCCAAGAGTCAAACCGAAGTCTGCACTCTGCCACAGGTTTCCTGGTAGGCTCTGGGATCATCAGATGACTGAAAGACCTGAGCATGACTTCCCTGGTGGGAAGCATTTCTCCCCAGTTGTTCCACCTCAAAGCAGCTTGTGTCTCCATCTTCCAGGCTACCCACAACTTTGCTTTTGCACTTTCTCAGAGCTCCTCCAATCCCAGAGGAGCTCTGAGAAGCTGTGAGTCTCTCCCACCCTTATAGCCATGGGGACCACAACTGCGATGGGCACCCTTGCCAAAATACCCTGACCTCAGCTACGTCCCCAGGCTGCACTGGGTCTCCCACACATCATACAGGATGTTCCTTGGTTTCTTTAAAATCATTTTTGCTTCTTTTCTCCTTTCCTCTGTCATCTAACATGCCGAGAGCAGGATGTTCACCAAGGGGGTGCTCATGGAGGTGGCAGAAGGTGTGGGTTCAGTGCCATTCTCCAGCTGAGGGGATCCAAACCGGCATCTCCTGGAAGGCAGTCCTAGCCACCAGGCAGTGAGTTATTAGAGGGTGAATTGCTCTCAACTGCTCCTTCAAAACAGTGAAACAGTCCAATTTTGCATTAACTACACGTCATGCACTTAAAGAAGTGTGGGCACAAGCAGAGACTTAATCGGGACAGTTGCATAAAAAGGAGCAACTGAACTCTTGCTGCCTTTGTAGCTAAAGCACAGTTGAAATTAACAGGACTAGGAGCTGGTATTTTTGTCAGCTCAGAGAACAGGTATAGTCTTTTGCAATAAAACCCATGAATCATGCAGATGAAACACCTCAACAGCCCTTCAGTGTGATCTGTGGGACAACAAAGCCTGTTCCACAGAGGGACTTTAGAACTGATCCCACATGAAGCTCTCGGGCTGTTCTAGGAGCAGTGCTGCCAAGCATGCAGCCAGCAGCTGCAGAATAAGGTTTCCAGGACACCACAAGTATGGGACAAGCCAGGGGTTCAGTACCCTTGAGCCTGAATAGTTTGTTCTTGTTCAGAACAAATGGCAAAGGAAATGACAAGTCAAAATTTGCTTGTGGGAACAAGTTTCTACTTAGTATTAAAGCTATCTCTGGTACATCTGTAGAAATGCCTACACAGTAATTCCAGGTAGTGCAGCAGTAAAGGCAGAGTGTTTCTGTGCAGGAGAGAAAACAAACCCAGAAAGCAGCCTAGTCAGCTGAGTTTACATTTTATAATGGCAGTTAATCAGTGAATTTTGTCTGCACTGAAGCAGCCTACACACACACACAGACTAGAGTCACTGATTGCAGCGTAGCACAGCATGGCTCTTCTGGAGAAAGGCACAGATCACAACTGGATCTCAGAGTGCTGTCAGTGTCCACACGAAGATTTATAGGAGAGGAGATTCTCTGCACCATTTGTAATCCCCTTTGTTCAGAAACCATACACAGCAAAAGTGTGCTTGGATACTGCTCCAATTTCCAAGTTTTTCTTGGGTGGGGATGGCCCAGCCTCACCAGCAATAAGCACCTCACAGACAGCACATACTAACGAACAGTGAGATGTGCCACCTCACCCCAAAAGGCGGAGAAATGCACTCAGTTTGCAAATGTTGCCAAGCATCCATCGCCATTGAGCTGTCTTACAAAATTCAAAGGCTATATAAAGAAAAACTACCAGACATTTCTTGATGCAATACTGATTCGCCCCAAGTTAAAAATAAGAAGTTTGGATGTTGTGACATTTCAGTAGAAGCCTGATTAGACACTTGTCTTGCACAACACTGCCAATTCCTATGAAAAGTTAACTGAAGGACAGAAGGCTACTGGAATGGGGAAAAAATGAAGTCTTTTGTGTATTTCTGCTAGTGGGAAGAACAGATCCCAGGCACAGCTAGCTGCATGTATCAGTGGCTGTAGAAAATTTTAATAACCATTTGAAAACCACCTGAACATTCAAGTGAATATTCAAGTGTTGAGTTTAGCTCATCACAGAAGTTGTATTTAAAGGGAAGTTCTGTGACACCTTCTAGTGCTGCTTGGCCAAAAGTAGTCATCAAGAGATTTTAAAATTCATAGTTTTTATGTTGCACTTAGAATCTTGACTGGTTTATCTTTCTTTACACTATTCATTTGGCCAGGGGTTCCAGATGCATTTGTTTTCTTTTTCCACTCAGTATAGTTGAAACAAAGGCCATGGAACAAAGCCCAGCTGCCCTAGCTCGGGGCATCCATTCCCACTTACTTCAAATCCTGCACAGACCAACTATCCCACAATCTCTTAACATGAACACACACTGTAGCATGAATCCAGTAATTCTCTTATTAAGTCTTCATCCACAGTGCTCTCTCTGTATTTTGTAAGGATTTTGTCCTACCTTGGGCATTTTTGATGGGACTCCTTCAAAGAGATGCACCTATTTTCTGTACTTACCTATTATTCGCAGAGAAGAGCAGAGAATCTTCCTATTAACAGAGAAAATGTTCAAGTACTATAATGGTAGCCATGCAAAATCCTGCAGGGCTCACTTTGTCTGGGAACACTCAAAGAGTATCGGTGGATCTTGGTGAAGAAAGCCATGGTGGGGATTTTCAACGCCGCAGAGCACAGGCACTCAAAGCAGCTAAAATAGCAAGTTGCTGCGTGAAAAGCCATCTCAGTCACACGTTCCACAACTCTGCACCTCCAGTCCCTCTCACATCCTGTCCTCTCTTACATTAGATGCTTTGTAGCCCTGAGATTAATAACAGCCATGAGTTCAAAGGCAGTAAATGGAACTGCTTCAGTTACTCAAGCCAAAATTTAACTGTCTTCTGAAGTACGCTCACTGCTCAGTCACCATCTATTCCAGGATTAGAACTGACAACGTTATCTGAAACTCTGATCTTCCTCAATTGATTTTATTTACTTCATATAAAAACACACATTTGTATTTACAAGAATGACGGGGAAAATATTTACATATGATTACATACATCAAGTCTAATAACGATGCTAAAATCTGTCACGTTCTATTGAGAATTTTCAGTCTCAAACATCGGGTTGGACCTATCTTCTTACCACAGTACATTTCATTAATAAAGCATCTAAAAACCCCCTCCATTTACTGTGTAAGGAATGTTACATATCAGCACGTGGAACTATAAACCAGAAAAGTTTATAAATAGTTAAGGCACAATGCTCAATCTAGTAATACTGTGCAATCCTCTAGGTACTGATGGGTAAAGAAAACAAAAGTGAGCAAGCTCAACTGAATACCATTTACTGGTACCCTGTACTGATCTTTAGAGTTTAGTCAAACATCAGAAATGCATACACGACCCAAGTCAAGATCCTATAATGTGTAGACACAGTGCCCAGGAAACCCCCAGACTGCATAATTGGATTACATGAAATGAAACATCACACCCTAAAATGTTGATGGTTAAATTTCTATTTAGAAGAGCACATTGCAAGTAAATACATACAATTACTAAAAATCCAAGTTTAAACAAATATGACTATAAATAAGCCTAAATAACCTATATTCAGGAAAGGCAGAATAGCAGGGACCAATGTCACATTTGTGCATGGATTTTCTGAAAACTCTAACATCCTATGAAATCTGGTGTTTTCAATATGGTCCAGTGTGAATTCATTTATTAAAATGAAAGCCACACGACTCAGTAATTAATGAAGGTGCATTAGGAGAACTAGACATCCTCCAACCTCTTTAGAGGCACGCTGAATGTAAATGAGCATTCAGTGGTTTCCTAAAGACTGCCCACATACATAAAGCATGCACACAAACTCTGAGAAACGCAAGGACTCGAGCTAAGTGCTGCAACATAAGAGCAAAAAATGAGAGCTAAATGGTGATACATTTGCTGGATGCTACTGGTATGCATAGGCTTTCATACACCATCAGCCTGACAGTAAAAATACAAATATTGAAGGATACAAAATACAAGGGATTGAAGGCTAATTAAGGAAGCTCCATACACAGCACTGGAGGAGACAAGTTTTAAGAGAAACGATGGAGCAAACGGAACAAGAGTACAACTGAGATTCCAAACTGAAAAGACAAAATGAGAAATTCACGCACGGAGAGCAATCTTCCTCCGTCGAAGAGGGTAGCGCTTCCTTTCTGGTGAATCTGCAGCTTTTCTTCTTTTTAGCAAAACATAAGGATTTTTACTGGTATTAGCGTCTGTTGGTGTGACTTCTCCTGGTGGTACAACATTTTGGACGTTATTTTCTTCCTTTGCCTTGCCACCAGCAAAGATTTCTTGCCGCAGCTTGCAGAGTTCCAAGGTTGGTTGCCAAGTAAACACCTGAGAAAGACCTTCTGCTCTTTCTGTGAGTGCTGGAAGAGACTGCAAAAACAAACCCAAGTATCTCAAGTTACATAGGAAAAGTAACAGTTACAATGAATGAAGTATGTTTATTAGATTCTGACAGGGACAAAAGTTTCCGTGTCTGCAGAGATGATCCTTAGGATGGTGGGTGAAGGTTGGGAATGCAGACTTACCACCCCAGTGGTGACAAGAGTCTGTGCCCAGAGGCAATGCAAAGAGTATGCCAAGGTTAAGTGTTCCCTCATGACATCTCTAAGCAGAGTAAGTATCACAGGAACACCACAGCTGATGCCTAAGCAGGTACTGAAGTAACATGTCACACTCTACATGATGTTGTACAGGTCTTCAAAAGATGTGTTATTTTCCAGATGCTGCAGGTTCCAAAATCTCTGTAAAAAGTATTTCCTATAGCCACAGGGTAATCTTCCTTACTACCACGTGACAGGGAATGCTTTATAGACAACTTCAGCAGTTGTACCTACTTCAGAAGTACACGCGCAGGCTTTTTTGTAAAAAACTATCATGAGGGTGAGTTAGAAAGCCTGTTTTGTGACATATTATCAGATCAAGAAAATAAAAACATGTCCTCTTGGAGCACACAGAGATCTCACCTTCATTGCTGTGCTGATCTGTTTGGATACCATTTCTGCCACCTGCTTCAGATCTGCGATGTGAGCATCTACGGAAAAACATAAAGCCCAAATCACCTTCCGAAACGCAGCTCCCTCCCCCCACTACTTGCTATCAGAAACTGGACAGAGAAGCAGTAGAGTCCCTGTATAAAACTTAAACCTGCAGCACATGGCTGTCATTATAGCACTGAGGATGACAACTGATGTGCTTTATCTCACTAGTATTATTCTTTATCACTCAAAATGCAGTACTGTTTAGCAGTCCCAACTATGACAAGCCACAGAGTTCTTCCCTAGAAAACCTACAGCTTATGCAAACCATGAGACACAAAGCCATTATTTGACATATAGGAAGAGAACAGTTGTTAAGAAATAAATAATTATAGAAAAAGATTTGTTTCCAAAATTTTCAAGCTCACATTACATTTGATAAAAACCACACAAAAGAAGGCAAATAAACACAACTGTGGAAAAAATGAGATGAAGGAAATCCTTTTAAGGAGGGGAAATAAATAATCTTATGTCTCCAGCAAGTTGGTTTTTACAATAAAGGCTACTTTTTTTCTTCTGGCTTAATTTACCAAGGATTACCACCAAAAAGAACCAAGCATAAACGACACAAACTGCATGAATTCTGCTGTGCTAATTAGGAAGGAAAGAGGAAGGGGAAAGGGAAGGGGAAAGAAGCTTTCAGTAACACTGAAGCAGGCAGCAGGTGGAGAACACTGGGAGGAATATGGCATATATTTGATTGCAGTAGCAATATGATAAGATCATCAACACAATACTTCTTTATTCAAGAGTTAAACCCTCAGCTATCATAAAACTGTTTTGCATGTTCTCCACCATCCACAAAACTTAAAATAAGCAGACCAGTGTGCTTCTGGGAACTAAGCAGCTTCATCTCCACTCCGATTACTTTTCTGTAGGGTTTTAGTGTCTGCAGTAGGACACAGTGTTAGAGGGTGCACACACCCCTAAACCCTGTCAGGGTTAAACACAGCATTTCGCTCTGAAGTTAATCTCTCTACTGCTGCTGGAGATAATTTAAGTCAGTGAGTGTATTCTAGCACAGGGTTACAGTGGCTCCCTGCTGAAAAGTGGTGAGCAGCGAGAGACAGTGTTTGTTAAACTGTCATCATGTCCAATGTGCAGATCAGACATGGTTTAGGAACATATAATCCATATATGAACATGAATACTAAAATGTATCATCAGAGTTTAGAAGAATAAACAGTCCAACAGCAGCCTCATAAAACACACCCCAGAGGCATGGACATTCCCTAAAAGAAAGCTATATCCATAATGAAGCAATCTTACATTAGAGTGCTGGGATGAGAAGACTGGTGATGCTATGAAATGGCAAGAAAGGAGTTAAGTAAAAATAGAAGTAATTATTTGGATTATTACATGGAAAGGCTGACACACAGTTAAATGAAATTTGCCTGCAGGAGTTCAGCTTGACATAGATGGCATTATATTCCTCAGTGTTCAAGGCTTTCCAAAACATAGGGAAATGAAAAAAGGAAACGAAAGGTACTGAGTAATCTAAACATTTTTGGTTTCTGGCCACTGTACTTGCTAAACTGGGATACACAAACTTCCCAAAGAGTACCTAATACTAAAATTCAGCACAAACTCTATGTTATCTTTGCTACAACTTTGCTGTTACCAAACCTAAAAAGACAATACCATAGTGCAAACTGCTACTAACTTTCAAGAAGTAGTTAATTCACATCAGAAAAGCATAGATCTTGGAACCCAGATATGAACTGACACTCCTACTAGCTGCTCTGCACAGGCTGGCATTTCTGGAAGCAATGTCTCCATTTACAAAGAGGAAATGATGCTTAGAATGAAGTTAGATTAGCAGGGTGAGAACTGGAAGATTAAGCTCAGCTTCTCAAACTTTTAGCACCACTGCTTGCTACACCAGCTTTACATCCTGGCAGTAATCCGTAGTGAGGATTCTTTAACCAAGCTTTTCAACTTAGAACTGCACTGGCAAATTCTGTCATTTTTTCATACTTAGGAACAGGCAACACAAAACTTTCCATTTCTTAAGGCCAGCCTCAAGAAAGCACATCCCAATCACCCACTGCCAAATCCACCACCTTGTTCCATAGACTTTGTACAAGGCATCTTTCACAAGCATGCAGCAAACTTATGATGCTGTCTGCAGTTTTGTGCTTTCATCAACCCTTACATGTGACACGGGCAGGATAAAATCTGTGTCCTACTCTGCAAGTTACTCCTACTTTGCAAGCGATGTCAACACTGCCATCACTGAGTACTACACAGCAGCTTTCAATTCCCTGAAGAAACTGTCTGATTAGGAAGAGAGATTGAAGCATTTCTAGTATTCATGTACAAGGAACACAAGAATGGCCAAAGTATAATGTCAGTGATCCAACTAGTTCCCCATCTGGCCTCCACCAGTGGTGAAGGAAAGAAGTAAGGAAAACTACTGGGGGTAGCTCTGTGACAATTCCTATCCAATACACACACACAGAGTGGCCAGTTTTTGCCTTCAAGTACAGTGTCCCACTGCAGACTGCACTTAGAACAAGAGAAATGGACACAAGAAAACTGAGGCAGCAATACACTCCTTTATGAGAAACTTGTAGCTATTTTAGTTAATTATATTAACAGCCAATAATTTTAAACAAGTTCAAAGAAAGAAAACTTCTTAAACATTTATAGCTAGCCAGTAAGTAGGCAGTGTTTCCTCAGTACAGCTGCCGTCCCCAGGAAACCTTTACCTTGAGAAGGCTGAGATCTTATCTCTTCTGGTGTTACCACAGGCTTGTAGAGCTTCTGCATATTCAAAAAAAAGGGAAAAATTCTTAAATACCCTCTTGCTTTAACAGATACCTAATATACACACAGCAGTCAGAACAATGGAGACAGTAGCGGAATTATTTACATCAAGAATATATTAGAGGTTCAGTTACTGAAAACAGTACTCTGGTTAACACAGTTACATTCTCTGTAAACATATCTCCAGACTCTGCTTTAGTTTGCAGAATTCTAATTATTAAAGCAGAACTGAAATCCAAGCATTTCAGAAGAAGCATTGCCACCTGCTGCATGACTGAGGAACAAGAGCTGCTCTGGCTTCTAAGGGGCCATTCACAAAACCAGCATGCTTTCACAGAGGCACAAACTCCAACAAAGGGTACATTAAGACAAAAAGCTAAGAAAATGACTTAAATGACTTCATTCTAGCCCTGCAATTACTTATGCAAAAGTAAGAACACTGTGCTTCACAAACTGTGAGTCTTGTGACTTGACAGCAGTTAATTGAGACGTGAAGTAAACTAATAATAAATGAACACAACCAATATTTAGCTATATTAAAGGTGGAATTAGAACTAACTAACAGAGAAGAAGGAAAAAATTCCAAAGATGTGCAAACACAAGTTATATCATCAGCAAGTTAGTATTCTCCAGTTCAGGAGCTGTCCCTCAACCTTCTTCAAGCAAAAACAATTCCTCCTTGTAGTTTTCCCAGAGAAATTTTTTCAAAGTTCACACATCTTTTCAGCAGAAGAACAAACATTGCTTGCATTAGCCTCAAACACTAGAGAACATATTGACTGAAAACCCACAGGGTGATTTCTTGCTTTGGCAATTACATGGAGATCACCACCATAAATTAGTAGTTCCCTCCAGATAAACCACGTCTTCATAGTTGCTCTTTATGCCTCAGAAAACACGCACCACAGGGTTAGCTAGGGTCAAGAAAGAACACAAAACATCCTCAACCAAAAGCAGAGAAATCACTAGTACCTTCACAGAAGTAGTTCTGAGAGGAAAAAAAAGACACTTCATTTACAGAGACAGACTAAACTTTCTCTATTTCTATACATATTTACAGAGAGATAACTAAACTTTCTATATTTGCAGCCACTTTTAATTGAAATAATCTAGCTGTAGAGTGATGTAAACTTTGAAGAGATCAGCAAGAGTAAAAAGGTAGCATGAGAGGCATTCTAAATAACTAATCCACTGTGGAACTCAGGTAGCACATAGCTTTCCTTTTGCAGAAAAGTTAAATTGCCTTGCTAAATCTTGATGTTCTGTAATAGCATGTTTTATTTGAGCTGACTTTGTTTGTTTAACACACTCGATATAATGACAAAACAGAGATTTTCTAACATATACTGCCTTTTATAATATCTCAGGTTTAAGATAAATATGTACCTATGCCCTTTTCCTTACTGTAAATCATCTCTGCCTGGCTAACTAGAGAGTTAATGTTTGTTGGTTTTAGTCCTCAGAAATGCAATGCAGGCTCTTAACTTTGGAAAAGCATCCCCATCTTCTTTAGTACAGAGTAACTGAAGTTGGAAAGGGCCACTAAACACCCTACAGAAGGTAGGGCAAACTGGTGCAGGTTGCTCAGAGCCTGAATATCTCCAAGGATGAAGACTCCACAGATTCACTGGGCAACTTGTGCCAGTGTTTGCCTCTCGTCCCTTTTTTTTTTTTTTGCCAAAGGAATCCTAATTAATCAGGAGGTAAGCAAATGGTAGGCCTAACGTAACTGCAGGGAAGAAATCTAGCAACCAAAGACAGGACTGGGTTGTTTAATGTCAGTAATAACTTTACACTGAGTGTCAAAATGTTACAATGTAGCAAAAAGCACTTAAGAAGTCACAGACATTCTTTGTAACCACCATACACTGTGCATGATACTATTTATCTGTATGTAGTGTAACATTTGGCACTTCAACCAGCCTTTGGGCAAGGACTTCAGAAACATGTGACAATAGCTGCATACTGGCTTGTAAATCATGAGGCACCAGATTGAAACAATCTGCTTAAGTAACTCGCTGAACTGTGCCACGGACCCAATTCACTCCTAGCTTTGTAGTAATCCTCATTTTACTGAAGAACCAATTAATGCAACAAACCCATTTAATTATATGACAAATAACCGAAAGCAACCATGGGAAGGAGCTTAAAGGTCAATATTAGATGATTTATTTCTTCCAGTTATGCATGGTCAGCAGCTACTATATGCAAAGTTTTTCTGAAAATTTTAGGTTACTCACCAACATCTCTTGCTCAGCTTTCATGGTTTGGATAGCATGCACCAGTATCTTTTTAGGCCACTGTTTACGCTTTGTTGCTGTCTCTACTATCAGTTCATCAAACTGATCTTCGAGAATTTTAATGTTGGAACCTAAAAATGCCAAACACACAAAGTTGCTGCAGGAATTCTCCTACAATTTTTTTTTTGAGACTAATTTGTAGGAAAAAAAATTATATCTGAAATAAAATAATCATGCATTATTATCAACAAAGAGATGCATATATGTCTTGAATCTCCTTGTTAAGGCAATACAGATGCTGGCCAGTTATTTTGAAGTAAATGAGCTGCGGGCATGAAGGGGGAGAATCATCTGGGCAAAAATAAAAAATGTATTTCTCTATGAACTCTGAATCTATGAAGAAACTCTTAAAAAGAAATAGCTGTCTTTTGAGATCACATGTTTTTCAACTGAAGAAAAGCAGTGCAAGATGCAGAAAGAAAAATGCTTTATCTGTATGATCTACAAGTATTAAACAAACTCCAGCTGCACAAGCAGTAATTTGAAGCCTGATTGATTTTATACCACACAGAGCACAAACATACAGTTTAACATGACAAAATACAATGCCACCTTAATGAAACACACTTCCTGGAAATACTCTACATCCTGACAACATCTACAATTTCTAGTCACAACAAATTTGCAAAATATGTACATGCCTGCTTTAAACACCCGAGGACCAAGAGAAAACATAGTAGGAGCTACCTTTCATAGCTCTGTTTTCCAATGTCAGGGTCAGACTAAACACCTAAAACATATTTTCAGCTGTGAACTAGTGTTTTTATTACTGCTACTCTACTAAAGGGACCTAACTTCTCCAAGATTGCAAATTAAACTTAACGATTTTAAAAGCTTAAGATACTATTTTAAAACTAGTCTCAAAATTTAGACAAGTAAACGCCTGCACTTTCCTGACATCACACATCATTGTTACAAACTGCAAAAAATAAGTTATAGAAGAAAGTAGAAGGAACTCTCAGGGTCACTCTGTGCACAATCAGGTCGTTGCAAACCTCCGAAAGGCAAAATCAAGGTTTTAAGAGTTTATGGGTTTGTTTTGGTTGTTTGTTCAAGGATCACCATGAAATCATTTAAGTATAAATAAAAAAGACTTGAGCCACTGGCTAATGTAAACATGGAAGGCACAAAATATCAGATCTCTTGGTGATTCAAACCACATCGGAGATAGGCACACAAGTAAATTTTTGCCAAATTAAAAAGCACAACATAGTCCTTACATCTGTTTATGCCAGCTGCAGGCAGATGACAGTACCTCGGTTTAGCATTTTGCATCATGAGACCAGTGCATTTTTGACCTTGTAGTCAAAGGAGTTGGAGTTCTGTCATTCTAGAACAACAACTACAAAAGCTTCATAGAGTCAGAGAATGGGCTGGAAGGGACTTTTAATGGTAATCTAGTCCAAGCCCCTTGCAATGAGCAGGGACATCAACTAGATCAGGTTGCTCAGAGCCCAGGTTTGCTCAAAGCTTCCTCACTAAAAACCAGTTCAAAGAGCTCTTTCTCCATAGTTAGTTCACTATATCTGTATTTTTAGCTTTATGCAACTGTAAAAAGCATCAAGTTGCAGGTAAAGGACATCTCATACCAACACAGGTGAGCAAATGAACCACACTGAAACTTTATTTGGACACCAGACTACCAAGAATCTCCACTAATATTATTTAAAAGACAATCATTACAATCACACTGTGTACATTACATATGTTTATATACTATTATACATCAATAATTTTCAATACTTACTTAATTTGTATATTAAATAGCAGCAACAGACAATCTCTTAGGGTCCCTTGACAGGAAGGTACCTTGGACAATGCCCCGAACACTCAGGGCTGGAAGGGCCCTCAGCAGGTGACTCAAACCTCCTGCTCACAGTAGGGTCAACACCCAGTTCAAACCAGGTTGACTGGTCCAGTTGATTTTTGGAAGCCTTCTGTGCTGGAGACTACATAACCTCCCTGGGCAGCCTTTTCCAACGCCCAATTAACCCAGTAGCGAATTTTTACTTCCGTACATTAAGGCAGAACCTCCCCCTTCAACCCCACCCTTTGCCTCCGGCCAAAACCAAACCGAACCAAAACAAACCCGCCCAGCAGGAAATCAATGGAAACCAGCGCGTACCGCTCGGCGGGCTGGGGTCATCCGTGGCCTCCTCCCAGGGCTGCCCGTTAATGGTCACGTTCTCCCGCAGCGCCGTCTCGAAGTTCTGCAAGACACAGGAGAGGCTGGAATCCATCCCTCAATCCCTCCATCCCTCCCTCGGGAAGGCGGGAAGGGCCACCTCGGGGTGAACACCCGAACACCTCCCCCGCCCCGCCGGCGAGGGCGGCCCCAGGGCCGCTCTGTGCCGGCACCGGCCGAGCCCGCTCCCCGCTCACCCAAGAGCGCGTCTCCCTCGGCGGCGGCCCGCCGGCAGCTGTCCCTCCAGCACGGGGCCCGCACAAGGGGCGCGCACAGGCTCCATCACGTCGCGCAGCCTGCGCTGCGAGCAGCACCGCCGCCAGTCCGGCCGCGCCGCACCGCCCCTCTACACCCATACCGCCGGGCCCCGGCCCCGGGCGGCGCCGCCATTTCCCGCCGGACGCGGGGAAAATGCGGCCGGAAGCGGAACCGCGCGCCGGCCGCTCCTCCCCGGGCGCGGCATGGCGGGGCCGGTTGGACTGTCACTGCCACCTCGCCCGCGCCGTGCTTCCGCACGGTAGGCGCGGCGCGGGGCGGCGGTGCGGTGGCCGTGGGTGGTTGTGGTGTGCGGGCCGGGCGCTGAGACGCTGCGTGTCTCTGCAGACGTGGCGACCGGTGGGGTGCGGGGCGGAGCAGGTTGAGGCGGCCGGGGGACCCCTGCCGCGTCCCCCGTGGCCCCACCGCCCGGGGTGTCTCAGGCGGCCGGGGTCTCTGTGTTGCCGTAGGCGGCGTGTCGGCGCTGGTGGTGTGTGTCGGAGCAGGCGGGCGAGTTCCGAGAGCGTCGTGGAGCTGTCGGAGAGGTGCGAGGCCGGCTGGGGGGTCCCGGCGCCCACCCGTGTCCCGGGCGCGATGTCCGCGCCTCGGCGGGAGGTGACGGGGGACGCGCTGCTCTCCTCCTCCTCCATCAGGCCAGCCCTTCTTGGCTTTAAACTTGGGTTCTCTGGGGTTTCTCGGGCTTAAACTTGGGTTCTCTGGGGTCTCTCACACTGCCGATCCCTGTTCCGTGTCTAGGTTCCCAGGATTTGTTTTGCCATGCCTGGGCGTTCATCCCGTTCAAGAAGTTTCTCCAGAGGAGCAGCGCAGTGTTACTTTGAAGGTAAAACACAGGCTATAAAATACGGCTGGGACTTTTCAGGACAGACGACAGGATGCTCCAGTCTGCCTGATTTACCTTCAGTTCTGCCCAGTGATTTTTCTGCTCCCTGCGATGCAGGAGACCCAGTGGACCAAACCCCAGGTTTGTCCTAAAGCGGAATTGTTCACTGGAGTCATCTGGCCCTATTACTGCAGTGAAACAGTTTAAAAAATCCCGAGTGAGTGCTTTGCTTACGGCAAACAGCATTTGCAGATGTCCCTTTGTTAACATGGGAACTGGAAGGCTACTGTTTGTTACCTTAGCCTGAAAAACTCAGGGAGCTGTTTGGCTGTTTGCAGCCATTTAGTCTTATCGGATTGTTTATGGGCCTTGTTTTAATTACCTCTTCTGCTAGTGCGAAAAGATAGCTAGAAATTAGGAGTATTTCAAATAAATGTTATATACATATATGACAAAAAGGTTATTAAGTAAAGAAGTCAAATCCTGAAGGTTTCTAAAATCTGACTGCACAACTTGCAATGATAGCAAGTTCTAAAGTACAGAATTTAAGAACAGTGAAGAACAGTTTAATCATCATGCTGAGTTCATAACCCTTCCCCCTTGTAAAGGCATTTTTAACTTGTTCCCACAGGATCTGGATGCTGCACTGCCACTTATAGAACTCTACAAAGACAAATTGGTGGGGATCGGAGAAGTGAGTAGAATTCCACAGCTTGTTTAAACCTCTTCAGCAGCAGCTGTCACCAGAATTACAAAAACTTATCGAATGCTTGGTTTTGTGTATGCTAGTATAAGTATTGCTTTCAGTCTGAACAAGCACTAAGTCTGATTTGTAATTCTCTTAATGTGCTTTCCTCCATAGATTTGCCTGATTCCCTCCTTTCCTTCCTTGTTATTATTAGAAAATTGATGGAATTTGTGTTGGTGGAGTAGTAGGAAGATTGCATAATTATGTTGTATCGTCTTACACCTGAAGGCAGAGCCTTCCTGCCTTCTTCCCTGACAAAGTTAGGCTAAGCTGTGATTTCAGTACATCTCACTGACTTGTACAGTTCTTTTTTTTGATCCCTCATCTATTTGTATCCACGTATTGTCCCCTGTCTAACATTTGTTTATAAAGGAATTGAAGCTTGAAAGCTTTAGGGTGGACTGCATTTGTTTGTGTGTTGGTACTGGAGGGACTTATATCTGGTTCTGCAGTGGCTGCAGAAAAAGCAGTTATTGGCAGAGCTTTGTAGCTGAATTTGCCATGTTGTACTATATATAAAAGACTGGTTGGTGTAATTGAATGAGGCTGCTTTGACAGACTTTAAATTTTGCCTGAACGTGTTTAGATCAAAAAAGTATAGAAGTAATGGGTTGTTTTTGCTAGAGTTTGGACTAAAGCTGTGGATTCAAGTCAGAAATTTTACTTATACTGGAGATCCAGATTTGAGACTTATTCTGAAATAATATTCAATAGAATATAAAACCCCAGAAAACCAGTTGCAGATTAAAGTGTTAAATACCCTTGTTAGTAACTATCTGCCCACAAATGCTTTCGCAGTTGGAAGAGCTTATGGTTGAGAATGGATTTTTTTCTGAGTTAAGCTACAGTTGAGCTTGTTTTAATTTCAGTCTCTAGTATACATACTTTGAAATGCTTTGCAATTTTGAAGCATTTTTTGCTTTTATATATGAAATAATGGTTTTATTAAGTGTTAGGTCTGTAAAATTTTTTTCCCTTCTCCTCTTGTACTGTAGGTTGGACTAGATTTCACTCCCAGATTTGCCAGCACCGATGAACAGAAGGAAGGACAAAGACAGGTTTTGATCAAGCAGATCGAGTTGGCAAGAAGACTGGATTTGCCTTTGTAGGTTTTATTTATAATAGTAGGAGAATTTGCCGGATCTCAGTAACATGTGGAAATATTTCCCAAGATTTATAGTTACTAAGTGCCCACAGAACTTTTCTTAGATGGATTAAACTGGCATTAGTGTCCAGTCAATCTCCAGTTTAAGATTTAATTATAGAATTTTCCCTGTGTTTACACTTCAATACTGTCGCCTTCTGTTTCCTGTCCTTGCTATGTTGTCCCTATATCTTCACTAGCTACAATGATTCATACATATATCTCCGGGCTTTTTTCTGATAAAAGGTGTAATACAGATTAATTACTTCCGTGCCAAGGTGCTGTTACTTTGTTCATGTTTGCAAAAAAAAAAAAAAAAGTATTTGGCTGAATTTCCTAATGGCAGGCCTCTCCTTGCTGTGCAGAAATGTTCACTCCCGCTCAGCTGGAAGACCAACCATTAATCTCTTGAAGGAACAAGGTATGCCTTTAATGCATTTTCTCTGTCATGGCTTTTGTCAACAGAATTTCTTCAGCTGTGCCATGTCCTCACTTCAGTTTGTGTGCAATAGTGCAGATATTCTGTATTCATTCTTTGTGGGACCAAGGTCCCATTGGAAGCTGACATAGCAGCCCTGCTCTGTAACCCTGCTGATCATTTGTTTTGCTTCCTTTCTCCAAGGTGCTACAAAGGTGTTGCTCCATGCCTTTGATGGGAAGCCATCTGTAGCAATGGAAGGGGTGAAAGCTGGATACTTCTTCTCCATTCCTCCTTCCATTATAAGGAGTGAACAGGTAACATTTTGTCCTGATTGCAGCTGGGGTCTGCTCCTTCTCAGTGCCTGGGAATTGGAGGTAGTAGCTGACAGCTTATGATGGCTGATGAGACCAGCGGTGCCTGCATACAGTTACTGTAACCTGACACTTCTCAGGAGAAGTTTCAGTTGCTATAACATTGCACATTTTTACTTTGGCTGAATTTCTGTCTGGGACTTTTGCCTTAGCTAGGCTTCTGAGGGGAAATTTTGGCTAAAAGAACTCAGCTGTTCCTGAGAAACAAGGGGGTTTTTTCTTCTCATTTAATGTGGTTTCTGGTGAACTCTTCTTTGGCAGCTTCTGTCACTGTACTGTTTTAGAGTAGGGACATGACACATGGAAAACAACTAGTTTCTGTCTTAGAGCTGTGGCACTTTCTGTTCTAAATGAAATCCATTCACAATTGGCTAAGTTGCAGACTTATGAAGAATTCTGATTATCACAAGTAAAGAAGCAGCTAAATTGCTTAAAGATGGCATTGTTCAGATTCAGTGCTTTATATGGTGAGACTGCTCTTTTAATTTCTATTCTGGGCTGCTACAAACTTTGCTAACCTCTTATTTTGGGGTGGCAGTCTGTTTCCATCCTGCACAATCATCACTTTCTGTCATAAGCTCAGGAAATGTAGGAAAGGAAAAGGCTTCATTCAAGTGGAGGAGGTATGAGGGATGGATATAGATGGGGATGAGGTTGGGAACTTGGAGGAAGGAAAGCAAAGGTACACACATATATACACAGAGAATAGCAAAATTGCATTGGTAGCTCTAAATGCAGTGTGTTTACTGCAATATAACTGCATTATTATATAACTGCATGATTTAATAAGTAACAATGGATTCAGTGTTGAGATAACAGTACTTCAGATATTTAGGAAACAGGAGAATCCTAATTTGAAGGGACTTCTTGAGCAGCTCCTGGTATTCTTGCTTCCATTCAGAAATTGTTGCTAAAGTGCAGGCAGTGGCACCGAAGTCTTTTGATGTTGCTGTTAAATGCAGGAGATGTCCTCCTTTCATAATTTTTCCCACGGGTTTAAGTACATAAAGCAATTAATAGCTGTCTTATTTTCTTCAAGAAGCAGAAGCTTGTGAAACAGCTACCTCTGGAAAATATGTGCTTGGAAACTGACTCTCCTGCTCTGGGGCCTGAAAAACAGGTAAATGATGAGGGGGGAAGGACTTCTGTGTATGTGTATCCAAACCCACACCTCATGGAGGTCAGTTACTGGTACAGGAGAGTGAAGTAGTGTAAGCATGGATACAAGAGGTGAAAGAGGTTACCAAGGGAATGTAATCAAGAAGAACAGATTCGTGTAATTTTTCTGGAACTCATGCCACAATGTGACTGAAGTTGTGTCAGGAAGTACTGACTCTGAAACACCTGTGGTCTGTAGGGATCTGTAACTTGGTTGGTTTGTTTCTTTGTTTTCAGGTGAGAAATGAACCCAGAAATATTTACATTGCTGCAGAATATGTTGCCAAAATTAAAGGAATTCCAGTTGAAGAAGTTATAAAAGTGACTACACAGAATGCACTAAAAGTATTCCCCAAACTTCAGAACTTTCTTCGGATATAGATTCAGAAACTGGAACATATGATATTGCAGAAAGTATTATTTATATTGTAATTAATAAAACCAACATGCATCTTGTGTTAAAGTGGAGTTTTGCTCTTGGAAAGTTCAAGAAGTGAGCAGTGTTATATAGCTGTATAGGGTGAAAATAGGGAATTTCTCAAAGACCTTTGGTATGCACCATACTAATATCTTGAATGTGATAAAGACGTGGCGTTCATTTGCATCTCTCATGTCTCTGAACAAGTACTTCATCTGCCGTGGGTTGATTCTGCTACTTTGGCCAGTGTCCTAAAAGCTGAATCTTGTACTCCCTCACAGCACCTGTGTGCATGTGGGCCTGCGAAATATTGATCAGAATTTTGCTGACTATAAACCAGCAATTGAACAAGGTGAGTTTTGCATAACACCTAATTATTCTAAGAGCCACTAAGCAAGTGGAGATTTTGTCTCTATGGGGAGTTTTACCTGCTCAGCCAAGAAAATACACAAGTACTGACTTAGTCCATAACCACCTCAGGTATAAAATCATGTATCATAGCAGCTGATGGTGAAAGAGTTTGGCTTTAAGATCTGGGCACGTTTCTTTAATGTCTCATGTGCCTGTGTGATTTTTTTTTTAATTGGAATCCTTTCTTTCTTCCCAGTTTAAGCTTCTTACTGGTTGCCCCTTTGCAAAATGGTTCTATAATGCCCTGTTCTGAAATCATGTTGATGTCTGCCTTCTGGGGTGGAGGACTGCAAGGCAAGAATTTGGGGTTTTTTCCATGTTTTGAGGAGCATGTGGTTAGAGAAGGGATCAGCTCCCAAATACGAGGAAAAATAAAAGAAGGAGAAAAAGCTTGTGATGTAAGTGATGCATATTGAAGTTTTGTTTTCCTCTACGTTGTTTTCCTCAGTTTCTTAAAACCGCATGGTCAGGAGGGTGTTTTGCTGTCTTTATCAGAACAGCTGTGCTGTTCTGCTTTTTGACCTGAGTTAGCATACTGAGTTTAAACGTACGTTCCTAAGCAGTTCTTGGCCTGCAGCAAACGACCAAACTTGCATGATTTGTCTGTATTACAACATGTATTCAGAGCAGCAAACACCTGAATCTTTGCTGAGAGTTTGATCTGGAGGAGTTAGAGCCATTTGTTATCCTGGATCTACAGGCACCGTTTCCACTAAATTGGGCGAAGGACTAAGTTTGCCTCCAGATGGTGCTAGGGAACAGGTATGCAATAGTCTTAAGAATATTAATGCAATTGACTTAATGATTAATAATCATGTCATTGGAGATACTAAACATGTGATACCAGGCAGCCTTACCCATGCTTCCTGCTGCCTGTGTGATGGGAAGGCTCCCACTATTGCTTGGGAATGCAGTTATGTACGGAGGTGCTCCGAGTAAGAAGTCAGGCAGCATCCAAATGTTTGTGGAGTTTTGACCTAGTTATTTTTCTCTATGGAGTTCTCAGCATTGCATGAAAACACTAGTTTTGCAAAAAGGGGAATATTAAGTATTTAGGCTGCTCAAAATCCCTGTCTCTGCAGGGAGCATTGCTCTGGTTTGGGCTTAGCCTTGCAGACAGGTGATACCTGGCTGAGCATTTGAATCCTTTTGCTGCTGCAGTGCTGCAAAAACCTGCAGACATGCCCACATCCTGCAGCTCCCATCTGGGATGGCACTGCCAAGGGTGGCCAGTCCCATGTGGGCTGTGGGGGCTCTGTGGGTCAGCCTGTGCCCCTGGTCCCTGCATCAGCAGAGTCTGGCAGTGCTCGTGGTTGTCTGGGAGTATGGTTGGGGCTTGGGAAGGAGACACGGAGTTGCTTCCCCCTGGGCCAGAGAAAGCTGGCATTGCAGCAGCCGTGGGCAGGGCGAGCCTGGCAGAGAGCCCACAGCGGAACAGACCGACTTTGTCCTCTCCTTAGACCTGCGGCGCCTCAGCTAAGTCATGGAGTAGATGGCCTGGTGCTCCAGAAAAGGAAAATGCAGTGTCATTCCCACTCTGCCTTGGCATCCCTGACACCAAACAAGGGTCAGAAGCACCACCCTTTCCCTGGTGCCATTTTGCTCTATGAGCTGTGCCAAAGTCCCCTGCAGTCAATGCTGGGGGAGCGGGCAGCAGGCACTGAAAATAAAGTTGTTACTTTGCACAGGAAGCCCAACTTTTTAAGGTGCTCACTCAGGACTGATGGCACTAATGTGTGTGAGAGAGGAAGTGGGGTTTCTAAGCTGGAAAACATCACTGATCCCTCAGCAGTCATCCTGTGACTATACCTTGAAAGGAGAATTTAGCAAAGAGCTTGCATTTCTGCCTGCAGTCCTGAGCTAATACCTAGTCCCGAGGGGCTTGGGAAGTCAGGATGGCTTTTGGGGAAGAGCCGTGTGGCTGTACAACATGAAGCCCTCCATCCCCACAAAGGTTGGCCTTAATATCAGTGTGTGCTGAACCCTGTTGCAGCTTCTCAGATTGTATCAACAAACCATGTCCCCTCCTACATAGCATAAGACACTGAGGTGGTCAAGGACGTACTGGAGGAAGGACCCAGTGCAAATTTAGCTGGATGGCATGTTTAGCTCTCAGGAAACCTGAGGAAAAAGGAGAGAAAAAGTACGGAATTAGTGGGGACCCAAATTTTGTTTTCAGTTATGCCATTAATTTTGGGGGACATAAATGGCCCTGGTGACCTCTCACTGAGAGAGCTGGAGTGGCACAGATGTTCTGCAGCTATATGGAAAGTGGTAGGTCCCAAGCTCCATCTGATACCTATAGCCATCTGGTACAAACAGCAGATCTGGTTGCACTTTGCGTGACTCCTCATGTCTCTCTACCTTGCAGGATGCACGTGGTGTGATAGAAAAATCAAGAAAGGTTTGTGATTTCTTTGACATAAATAATGCCTTCAGAGTGCCTTGTGTGTTAGTCAGTACTTGTTATTGATGCTGCTCTGGCTGTTACAGCTTCTGCCAGAAAAAAAAAAAAAGCCCCACATCTCTTTCCAGGCTTAAAATAATGCACACAGATGCACTGTGTGCCCCAGGACTCCCACACGTGCAAGGGCTTACAGTGAGTGTGTAGCTCAACCCCAAGGCAAAGAAATGAGGGGGAGACAGGGTGACAGTAATAATGTGAAGGTACTTTCCATAGGCTGAGATGCACAGCCTGGAGATATAGAGAGCTTCTAAAGTGGATTTTATCTGCTGATAGAGACAAAATATTGGATCAGTGTATATTGTCAGTGGCAGAGGTACTTTGCTCAGTGAGCACCATGGATCAGCAGCGAGGGTTGGAAGGACACTGAAATTGTGACTCCTTGGCGGGCTGGTGGCATTGCCCTTTTGCCACCCATGCCAAGCTGCTTGCAGGGCTCCTGGGGAACAACACTGAAGTGATTTTTCCTGAAGGCCAAGTGACTTCTAAGAATGGAGTGGGCATAGAAATAAAAGGTTGCATGTGTCACTTGAACTCAGATTCTGAATTTCCTCTGAGTTCAGGCCTGACAGCTAAGAGTTTGTCTAGGGACTCTATCTGTGCTCACTTAAATAGTCTTTGGAAGGCTGCAGCTGGATCATCCTCCCAGGGTCTTTCTTCTGAAACTTGTTTTCAGTCATGAAGTTACAGGACCTGAATCTGCTGAATTTTGGGACAAAGTATAATGAGTTTTTCCAGGCTTCAACATGGGAACAAGTGAGGAGATGGTTATGAGGCCAAGTGGATGAAATGCTGTTTAATGTTGCTGTTTATTATTATAAGAGTTTAAACAAATTAACTAAAGACTTTTACTGGAGGTGCTTCCAACAGACTCCTATGCAATGCATAGATAGGCTCTGTAGAAGCAAAAGCAAATAAATAATTGCCTGGAAATGCAACTTTTATCACTTATGAAGTTATGCTTGTGTTTGTTTTTTTCATTAATGCAGGCTGGGAGTCGATCCTCTGTTCCCATTATGGAGCAGGAAAATGAATTTGAGGAACTCAGTGGTTTAGCATAAAGCTTAATTGTTTTTCTCTTTGCTTTCTATATGCAGTACAAAGATAAAGCTGAGATCAAAGGAAGTATACAAATTGCCATAGCACCTAGTTGTATCAACATTTTCCTTTTCAGCAGGTGGTTATCCATCTGTTCGTTTCCCCTACTGGGCCTGGCATTTCTATCAGTGTGAACAGCTCAGGACATGGACATCACCCTCACTGCACTGTGTGGCGGCCCCACCATGCAGTGAGTGCAAAGTGCCTCTTCCAGGGGCTGGTGAATTTTTGTGCCACTTTGAGCTACTGTGAATGACAAAACAGTGACAAACCACAGTGAGGATCATGGCCCTAACGAACGTGTGCCTGGAGCAGGAGCTGATACCCATCTCCCCAAATGCTTGGTGCTGTTCTCAGAGAGATGCTGCCCATGGGCTGCTTAATGCAAACATAGGAGACCAGTGCCACTACCCCACCCAGCTCTGCTGGTGAAAGTGGTGGTGTGGTTCATCTGCAAAAGCAGAAACGATGAGGCACTGGGACAAGGAATCTGCAGGAGCAAGGGCCTCTCTTTGCCCTAGAAAACAGCATAATGGGCACTGCTGATATTCATCTTGGCTGCCTCAGAGAGCCTCTGGCACATGGAGCACTTGTATGGAGTGGGTGCACAGGTGGCATCAAGGAACTTAAGGCAAAGCTGAAAATAGGTGTAGAGCAGTGGCACATCAGCAGAACAGGAGGATCTAGGATGTTGTCTGAGGAGCAAACAAGTTCTGCACTGATGCCTGGGGACATATCTGGTGTCCTACCAAAGTGACAAAATATATGGACTTTGTCTGTGATGTCTGGGTGAGGCGATATGTCTAGTTACACTGCCTTCAAGGGCAGGTGAGGCAGTGTGATGTCCATGGCTGGTGGCTGCACACAGATGAGCCCAGCCTGCCACGGCAGAGCACCAGTGTTGTGTTGTGGCTGAGCAAACCTTCAGCTTCTTGGCGCAGGAGTGAGTACAGCTGCCTGAAAGACCTTGGAGCAGCACTGACATGTGGGGAAGCAGGGCCACATCCCCCTGTTTTGGAAATGCAGGGTGTGAGACATGGAAAAGTGTTGGTATTGGCAGTGTGATTGAACC